TGCTGCTGCAGCAGTCCAAATTCCTTTCCTCCTCCAGCTGTGGTGCCCAGGTGGTGTTTCGCAGTGACTCGGACAACAAATGGTCCTCCTGCACGCCTTTTCGGTGACTATGCTGCTTTTGCCCTTTCTTTTCACCTTCCTATTCATCTGTTTCCTGGCGTTTGGCGCTGTACTGACCATATTTTGCTTAATAAGAAAGTTTACCATGTTTGCCTACAAACTAATTGATGGCACATCACAGTTGTGGCCACATGCCCTACGTATTATGAATATGACCTTTGTTGTTCAATTCAATGTTTATGTGTGCCTTATTGAAGTTGATAGATATATTTCCCATACCGAAGACATGTTCTTAGACATACATTTCAGGATAAATGACTGCCAAATTTTGTTTCTGTGCACTTAATGAACTTCTGTGAATTTCGTCATCTGAGGGTTGGTCAGAATTTGTGGATTTTATCATTCCAGTGTGAAAATGATGATTGTGTTTATGCTGGTCTTGCCATCGGGCTTCAGTCAATAATGAGGCAGATTGTATGGTGTATTTTAATTGATGTACTACTCGGACCATTCCATCCTGCTGGAGTACCTTTTTCTGTGGTGATTATGGATCACTATCAGGCTTCACACTGGAATATCTGTATAATTCCATCGTAGCAGCTTATCAGTGTCATGCGGAGTTTACATTCACAATTGTATATCTGTATAATTTGTAAACTGTTAGATTGTGCTATGGCAAACGACGTATTCTGGTCCTCAACTGCTGCTCTGCTTAGGCTTGCATTTCTCTGCTTGCCTGCTGCTGTATTCTGGTCCTGAATTTTTAATGTTATTTTGAACAGATTAATTTCTATGCCAAAGGATGAGGCAGTAACCATCAGACTATTTCGCGGCCCATGGACAAACAGCATCGCAATCCCAGATACTTACCGCAGCACAGGTGTGGACGTCTGCTATTAAACAGTGGACTAAGTTTGCTAATTTACTTTCCTGTGTCCTATCATTCACTCCTATGTTCACTAGCTGCATATTGCCTCTCTGACTCTAGCTGTTGTAGCTGTTGTATGATATCTTCACTAGGGCCTCACAGTCTATTTGGTTCTATAGGGCTACCAGGAATACCTCATCCTAATTCCAAGATGACAGGTTACTATTTTTTGGCGTGCCTTGCGAATATTGAAATAGCTTCTCAGTCTCCAAACGTGCGAATGCTATGAAACCTGGAACCACGTCATCACATTTCTAACCAACGTAAATATGGTTAACTAAAAGCTAAACGACGTCATGTTCGTTGGGGTTTTTTTTTGGCTTATAAGCTATGACTGAAAGTACTATTGGCTGATTTGGTGTGAGAGAAAAATACTGTTCGTTAACTGATAAGCCATAGCTTAGGTGGTGTTTGGTTGCTCCTCCTAAATTTTAGTCACTGTCCTATCAAATGTTTGGACACATGCATATAGTATTAAATATAGATTAATTACGAAACTAATTGCATAATTTACGACTAGTTTGCAAGACGAATCTTTTAAGCCTAATTAGTCCACAATTTGACAATGTGTTGCTACAATAAACATGTGCTAATGACGGATTAATTAGTCTTAAAAAATTCGTCTCGTAGGGTACTGACGGATTATGTAATTTGTTTTTTTATTAATATTCGAACACCCCATGCAACATCCTCCTGATACACCTTCTAAATTTTAGTCACTGGATTCAAACACCATCTTATAAGCTAAATACGACCAAGCGAACAGATTGAGTAATTTCCGGTGTCCAAATGGAGCTGCACTCCTGTAGTAGACGCCATCATCATATGGTAAAGGCCGCATAGGTTTTGTGCCCTCTAAATACAACTCCATTGCCTCCATGATCCATGGACTTGCACCGCCCTTTTGGTACCAAGTAGCAATCCCCATCCCACCCCCACCCCAAAAACCTTCACAATACTCTATTTGTTACCCTCCTTTACTTTTAAGCATCAGATTATAAACCTGCTTTTGGATATGTACGCAGGGATCAATTGCTTGGGGTGGAAACTACGGCACATTCCTGTTTATTTCCACCACATATGCCGGCTTAGTACCATCAGCAATTGTCCATCGAAGCACAGATTCTTATTACTTTTGTAGTCCTATTCCCCGTGCATAGAGTATGGCACGGTTTGTAAACTTCTTTTTTGTTACATTTGATGTTTCTTTTGGTCTTCAAGTGCTACATACTTACCCCCTCCCGCGAGACAACCGAATGTGAAGTTTGCATCAGAATTGACTCGAATCACTCACTGCGTATCCTATACATTGTCAGCTTGCTGCCCACGCGAAGTGACGAAAATAGCTTGGCCATGAGCTCGCAACGCAAAAGGCTTTGGAGTTTGGACATGCAGAGCCTCAGCAATCAAACGCCGCATCCAAATCAGGTTTTGTTCGCACAGAAAACCACGCTGGTAACAGAGGGAGGTGGGTGCAGCGCTTTCCTCGAATTTTATCTGACCCGCATCTCACGAGAGTAATAGAGTCGGATTTTTTACGGAGCGCGCGTGCAAGAGAATACTTTGAACGAGGTGGAGCCAGTGGTTTCCTCCGGTACCGCGTAACGCGTAACAGTGGACGTTTCCTTTTTACGGTTTTTTTTTTTACCAAAGATTTAGTTCTACCGTGGACGATTCCTCCGGAGCCTTTTTCGGTGTAGAGAAGAGACGTGAGGCTACCGACCGTCCCCGACGCGAACTCAGAATTGGCTTTGACATGAACTATGTACACGTTTGTGGACTCGAGTATACATATTTGGTAGTCTTTGTGACAGGGTAGTGTATGGTTTTTTGTATCACTGGTAGATGATTACTTAGAGTCTTTTTAGGTGTAGAGAAGAAAGAGAAGTGATAGACATATAATGGCACAGGTGGGTACTTTTGTAGAAAAGAAAATAGATATGATGGTTATCGATTGCTTTGGTCTTTTGATCTGATGGCCGGATGTTTCTGATGGCGTATTAGGGTGGCCAACCAAGTAAACGTGATGGTAATAAGTCCATCTAAATTATGATAGGAAAATTCAAGTTTTTTCTCGTACGTAGATTTAGGCTATATTTATTTATTATTTATATAATGGCACAAGTGGGTAATTTTTTAGAAAAAGAAAATAGATCTTATGGTTAGCAATCATAGATTTAGGCTATATTTTTTATTATCTATATAATGGCACAGGCGGATAATTTTCTAGAAAAGAAAACACTACTACACAAATGATTTTGCGCGACACCCCCCGGAGGCCACCGAGGCGGGCACCTATTTTTGCCCGTCACGGTAAATGCCACGGTTTACCTAGACGGGTATTTTTTTATTTACCACGGCGGGCATGTAACGAATCGATTATAGTATGTCCGCCGCGAAAATCTTTTTACCGTAGCGGACATTTTAGGATGCCGTGGCGACGTTTAAGATGTCCGCCACGGTTCATTTAAGCCCCAAATTACCGTGGCGGGCATCCTAAAATGTCCGCCACGGTATAGTTAGACGGCGGACATCTTAAGACGTCGCCCGCAAACGGAATGGCGGGCATCCTAAAATGTCCGCCATAAATCGATTCATAAACATATCACCCACATCCTACCAGGCCTCCCCCCAGTCTCTGACCTGAAATCTCTCTCTCGGCCTCCGCCTCCCCCACTCTCCCTCTCGCCTCCCATTCAGGCGACGTGTTCAGTCCTCGATCTTGCTTGGGGCGACGATCGTGTCTGGATCCTCCATGAACGAGTGGGGCTAGGGTTTCAAATCCAAAGTGGTTCATCTCCCTTTCCTCTCCATCTCCCTCTCGATCCCCTCACTCCTCCCTCCTCCTCTCTCCAGATCCGACGATCAAACCTCTAATTAAACTCTTCCCCAATTAAAATATTCCTCCTAGTCTAGCGAATAGTGGATTCCCATTTCAACAGACGAACCACCACGACATGATACTCGACAGAAACACGCAGGCGGGATCAGATCCCCTGCGAGCGAAAGGTGGTGGCACCCTGCGGGCGCTGGCGTCCTCCCTTCTCCGAGACGCTGGGCCCGGCCGGCTGCTCCTCTTCTCCTCCCGAGCGGCACGGATCTGCGGTCGTGGGAAGCCCGGATCCGTCGCCGGTGGGCTCGCCAAGGGCTCGAGAACGGGGCTGGCATGGGCGAGCTCCTGGAAAATGATTAACCGCAAATCCTAACGTGCCCGCCGTGGTAAAAGTATATTTACCACGGCGGGCGTTACACTCCCGCCGCTGTAAATCGATTAATCATGGCGCAAAAGCCGTCGTCCGCATGTTAAGCCAATTTATCGTGTGGCCTCTAAAGCAAGCGGACGGCTTTGCCCGCCGCGGAAAACCGAAAACGTCCGCCTCCAGTAAAGTTTGTGTAGTAGTGAAATAGATCTGATGGTTATCAATTGCTATGGTGTTTTGATTTGATTGCCGGATATCCTTCCGATTAATGTAAGAATTTATAGTATTTATCTTTTTCTAGCGCGTCTAGTGAGACTTAGCCCCTTCCCAAAATAGTAATAGTTAGACAGAAACGGAATGGAGTATATAAATACACTTTTTCTAAGGAACAGTCACCTGAAATCAAGTTTTCATTCAGGCGACGTGTGCGGTCCTCAATCTTGCTTCAAGATTCGTGTCTATTGAGTGTGGTACTGGTTTTTTTTTTGTGTCGATTTAGATCAAAAGCTAATTAAACTCTTCCTAATTAAAATACTCTCTAGTCTAGGAATAGTAGTTTCCGATTTCAACTGACAAACTGACATGATACCTGACAGAAACACGCAGCAGATCAGAAACACCACCTCCCTAAGCATCAATCAAAATAAATAATAAAGGTTACTAGTAGAGCACAGAGAGAGAAGATTTTTTGACTAGCGGAGAAGTTCCAGAATTTTTAATGAGCAATAGTTCCAAGCGAGAGCGTGTTCAAGCTCCCCCGCGGCCATTTGGAGCAACCCGGCGTGGCGGCGGTTATCGGAGCGAGAGAGCGCTCAAGCTCTCTTCCCGGGCCTTTTCGAGCTCCCCGGCCGGTCAAGCTTTGGTTCTCCGTATTGAACCTGAAGTGCTCGGATTCCTGCGCAGCCCTCGACTTCGTGCACGGCCTTTTGGAGCTCATCCGCCATGCGCTGGGCTTCGGAGCGACAGCGGTCTATGTCGCTCGCCAGGCGGTGGGCCCGCTGCTCCGCCATGGCTGCCCGCTGAGCCATCTCGCCAGCCAGCTGCTCCGCCGCGTCGGCCCGCTCAGCTTCCTTGGCGATCGCGTCCAAGAAGGCTTGTGTAGCCGCCACCTGCAGCTGCAGGGCTTTGTCGACAGCGTAGCGACGCTGCTTCTTCGCACCGAATGCTGACGTGAACACATGATGATGATGGTGGTGGTGGGCAGCGTCGTCCACGTTAACCGGGGTGCCCGCCTGGCTGCTGGACTCCGCCGCGGACACCGGATGATCCGTCGGCGCTGAATCTGGCCTGTGGTGTTGGTGTGGTATGTGGGGAAGAGATAATAAGGCGACGGGAGACGAGGAGAATGAAATCAAGGGGAGCGGACAGCACACTTACTGAGAAGAAGGGTCGAGCTCGAGGTCGATGATGACCGTTCTTTCTGGCTCTGGCACCAGCTGGTGGGCAGCGTCGTCGCCCACCACGCCCCCGTTGCCGCTGCTGAGGACCGACGATGGCGGGCTGGGGTCCGCTTCCGCTCTAAAAGAATCCGCCGCCGCCGCCGCCAGGGTCGTCAGCGCTGTAGCCAAGCTGCTGTAGCGTAGCAGGAATGGCCGTGGGATGGATGGACAGGAGATTGAAGGGGTGCGGTGCGGACAGCCGACTTACCGAGAAGGAGGAGGCCTACGGATGAAGAGCTTGGGTACGGCGAAGGTCTGCGATACCCCACCTTCCACGTTCGGTCGGCGACGGGCGGAACGACCCGCGTGTTCGACCTGGTGTGGGCGCTTCCCGTGCCCCATCTCACCCGTGCTGCCAGACCCCGAGCCGAGGGGTTGTTGGGTTTCAGTCACGGCCGGAGGCGGCTTCACGTGATCGGGCGCAGCAGCGGTACTTGCCATCTACGCCTTCAACAGCGATCAAGTCGCGTGTGGGCGCAGTTGGGAGAGGGGGGGAGGCGGGCAGGCGTGCGGAGGCAACGGTGCGGTGGCGGTGGCGTGGGCGCGCCGGGGTCGGGGTCGGAGGCGAGGAAGAAAGGGTTAGCTTGAGCTACTGCTCGGCTACTGGTGCTGTAAAAGGTGCGCCGGCTGTCATATGCGAACCCCACGATGGACCAGCCGGCAGATCGTTAACGTGCTCTGGGGTTTCTGCGCTGCTGTCGCCGCTGTACGGAGTACTCGATGCTTCTTTCAGGGAGTTTCCTCCAACGCTCGCTCCGTCAGGCATGATGTGGCATTGAACTTTCAATCAAGCAAGGGATAAGTTGGCCTACTACCTGAGAGAAGCTGCTCAGCAAACGCATTATGCTCCTTGAGTCCTCGTCATTAGCCATTCCGACAAGGCCCTTCTGGTATGTCTAACAGTTTGTATCACGTCTGAATCCTTGAGTCCTTTGCAGATGATGCTACTAATAACATACTGCAAGAGAGAGGGATGTCAGGGGCAGGTTATAGAAGAGGTACGTTAAGCTACGGCTAAAAAAACTAGTACATTTGTTTTCGCAAACGTTTTTCAAACCAGTAAAGCTACGGCTAAAAAAATTTGTTCCATAAAGAAGGAACAACGGGAGCTGGTCCTATTATTCTATTAATGAAAACGTGTTTAAGCACTTATGCGAAAAATCTATATATATAACTAATATTTGTTTTCGAGAAACATCTATATCGATACCCATACCTACCTAATATTAAAAAGGTAAAAATTTCTCTCCACCTATTTTGGTCTGGCCCATTCAATATGGCCCAACCGTCTGACCCACTCACTCACTTTCTATCTGCATCGTCGCATGGCCCACCCGCCTTCTTCCGGATACGGCTGCAGGGCTTGCCTCCTCGTCCGCGCAGCTTGGCCGCTCCCCGCTCATCTGCTCCGGCCTGGTCTCCCCATCTGCCGTCGCACTAGTAGGGCAGGGTGCCGACGCTGGTTGGGCCAGCGGCAGCGCATGGGCTCTAGCGGCGCAGGAAGCTGCTGCGCTCATCCATTACGACTAGCATGGTGCGGCGTTTCCTCATGCGTCGTCTCCGAAGGTGGTGTGGCGGTCACATGGGGCCAGTGGCCACGAATAAACACCGGCAACCACGAGCTCTGGTATCTCCAGGCCCAGTCCGATGGCTCTCAATGGTACTTGATAGATCGCCGCCGGCACGGATCGACCGGAGATCAGGCGTATATGTTCGGTGGTTTGGGGAAGAGGATGAGAAAAAGAAATACAAGAGAAGGAAGGGTTCCAGTTGGATAAGTGCGAGAGAGAAAGAAAAGGTGGGAGGATCTAAATTAAAAATGTTTGGCCTCCTGCTGCTGGGCTAGAATCCGCCGCGTGGGCCTTTTGCGCCACTGGACTGGGCCGAGCCGTGGCCCATGTGCTGGTCCCTTTTCTTTTTTTTCTGTTTTTTCTCTTTTTCTGGTTAAAACATCAAATTGTAAATTATGTGTAAAATCATAGAAAAATCATAAGATAGCAAAACTAATTTTCTGAATTCCTCTTGACTAGGTCTACACTTTACTATAAAATATTTCATGTAGTTATAGATCTATGTTTTCTTTCATAAACTGATAAATGATGTTTCCGTAGTCCTTTTTGCAGTGAAATTTTTATGATAATCTTTTTATTGATATGTAGGATCTATGATAAAAATTTTATGTACAATAGATGCATATTGACTGAGTTAAAGTTTAAAAGAAGAAAAAACGTACAAATGATATACAACAAAGGAGCACGGAGCACTCGAGGCCACACCACCACAGGTCACAGGTTTGTCTCCCTGCAAATAGTGATGCAAGCGGGCTTAATACTCCTATAGGTGGCCCACGTGACACCACATCAGCCACTTACAAAACTTGTGTATCTGGATGCATGGCTTGGCCCCACGCTTGGTCTTGTTGCCACCGCGCAGAAGCGCCTCATTGCATCAGAATCAGAAAACAGGCATTGATAGGAAGATCAGGATTCCATGGCTCGAAGGCCATGGCGGTGAGGCAATCGCGTGGTGTTCACGAAGTGCGATGCCATGGAGCTATGGTGCGGAGCCAAGCTCGGCAACTAGGGCTCTCCAATCTCTGCAAGCTCATTGGTCCTGTTACATGTGAAGCGTCCGGTTGGGTCCAGCACCTACTATGAGGCTCTATCTAGGACGCTGCTCGTCAGCGGTGCACTAGGCGCGGTGCTGGCGTTCTGACCATGCAGCACCTGTCCTGCATCGCGCATTACGCTGAAGTAGCAACGCTATGGCACGGAGGGAGTGCACACTTCAGAAGATACGGAGGAAGACGTTGTACCTTGCATAGCGAGCTAGAGGAGATAGTAGTGATGTTTGAGTAGGTCGATGAGGTGGAAGAGACGAATGACAACTACGTGTTTGCACACTAAACAAAATTCGATCTTTTGACATAAACAATCATTTCTTTTACATCAAAATCTTCAGTAAATAAAAAAAAGTTAATATATATTTTTCTTTGACCCGTCGTAACGTACGGGCAATTTTGCTAGTGAGAAAAAAAAACGTGGAGCACCAAAACATATAACATAGACCAATATGTTTAAGGGAATGGGAAATGACCATTTATTGCTCGATGACCTGAGAAACACGGTTGCCTCGCACACCATGACGCGAGCTCATTCAGGTGCAAAAAGCATGCAAGTATGCAACCACCAGTGATAATGACAATGACAACAGTTTAAGGGACCCACGGCTTAGCTAGAAGCGGCAGACCGGACTTGATATGCACGGCTATCCCGTTCACCTCGGTCATGTCCAACGACGGCGTCGGCGTCCCTTCCCGGTTCCGTCTCCCCTGCCCGCCGCCGCAGGCCGCCTCCCAGTCAAAATGATACAGCAAGCTCGCCAGCGCCATCTCGGCGCTTGCCTCCGCGAACCCGATCCCGGGGCACATCCTCCTGCCGGCGCCGAACGGCAGCAGCTCGAAGTGCTGCCCCCTGAAGTCGACGGACGCGGCGGCGGCGCCGCCCAAGAATCTCTCCGGCACGAACTCCTCGGCGCGCTCCCACGTCGCGGGGTCCCGGCCGATGGCCCAGGCGTTGACCAGCACGCGCGTGCGCGCCGGGACGTGGTACCCCAGGATCTCGGCGTCCGCCGGCGGCTCCCGGGGCACCAGCAGCGGCACCGGCGCGTGCAGCCGGAGCGTCTCCTTCACCACGGCCTTGAGGTAGTCCAGCTGCGCGACGTGGTCCTCGTTGACTCCGGTTGAGCCGGCCGCCGCCGCGCGGACCTCGTCCTGCGCTCTCCGCATGGCGCGCGGGTGGGTGACGAGCTCCGCCATGGCCCATTCCATCGCCGTGGCTGTCGTGTCCGTGCCTGCCGCGAACATGTCCTGCCAAGTGACGACGACGACCGTGCATGGCACGATACACGAAAAAGATTTCGGGATATAAAACTGAATACTGTATTTAAAATTTTAATGAGCAACCACGAATATTGTAACAATATATTATATGGATTCATGGAGATTTAGTAATTTACCAAGATGATGGCCTTGATGTCGTTGGTCTCCAGTTGGATGCCGTGCTCTTTGTCGTTCTTGTGGACGTCCAGCAACACGTCCACGAAGTCCCGGCCATCGCCGTCACCACCGCCTCCGCGAGGACGCCGGCGGTGGTCATCAATCACCTTCTCAAGCAGCCCGTCGAGCGCCTCGAACGTCCGCCTGATCTTCCGCTCCAGCCCGGTGATGGCGTCCACCCAGCCCAGCCACGGCAGCAGCTCCCCGACCGGCACCGTCCCGATGAGCTTCTGAAAGTCGGTGATCACCTTCCTCTGCCGACGGCCGGAGTCAAACTCGTCGAACAGCCCGCGCGCGCTCTCTTCGCCGAACGCGGCGCGCGACACGACGGCGTTGGCGTACTCAGTGAGGAGCTCGCTGAGGTCGACGGCCGCGCCTCCGGCGCCGGCGCTGGCCCGGGCGGCGACGCGGGCGGCCAGCACGGTGGCCTCCTGCTCCCGGACGCGGCAGAAGGAGAAGGACCCGACGCGGCGCGCGCTGAGGAGGTGGACGACGCAGACGCGGCGCGCCTGGCGCCAGTACTCGCCGTAGGGCGCGAACGCGACGTCGCGGCCGTAGAGGAGGCGCTCGGCCATGGCGCTCCGGGGCCGGCTCGCGAACGCCAGGTCACGCGCCCGCATCACCTCCTCGGCGGCGGCCGCGGAGGACACGACCACGGTGGGCACGCGGCCCAGGCGGAGCAGCAGCACCGGGCCGTGCGCGCGCGCCAGGGACGCCAGCGCGCGGTGCGGCAGCGCGCCCAGCAGGTGCAGGTGGCCCAGCAGCGGGAGTCCCCGCGGCGACGGCGGCAGCGGCAGCCTCCGGCCGTCGTGGCGTGACGTGGGAGCAGCAGCACCAGCGGACTTCTTTTTGCCGCCAGCGACGAGGAGGAGGAGGAAGTAGGCGAGCGGCGCGGCGACGAGGACAGTGAGCAGGAGGGCGACGGGGCCAACTTGTGGTTCGAGAGCCATGTTTGAGCTGGCCAAATGTGCATGGAGTCGATATAAAAAAATGCTTCCTTCCCTTTTTGTACATGCATGGAGCCTTGTATTACCGGGCCCACTGGTTATCCACGATTGACATTTCAAGTGGACCAAAATTTATATAGATAGGATTTAAGTGCCTTTGCTTGAAATATGTCAAATTGCTACTGCTTAAAAACTTGGACCCATGTTGTATTTGGAAAGACTCCTGATCACTAACCCCACATATGAACATTGTCTCTGTCTAAATTAGATATACAGGCTAAAATTTGTACGGCTCAATTTTTTTGTTATTAGGATTTGTCCTTTCCGATTCTCCTCGTACAAGTAAATTTTTCACTTCAAAAGTTACAAGGTTATAGTGGATAGTAGAAAACACTGCATCCGGCTTAATTTGTAAATTGTTTTAGTTTCGTTCTAAATTAAATCTGTCTAAATTTTCATTGAGAGAAATATATTAGCATCTACAATATAAAAATTGATCCACTATCAAAATATATTTTATGGTGTATATCCAATGAATCTTGTTTGATGATGTTAACATCTGTTTATTTCTCTATAAACTTGATCAAAACTAGTAAAATTTAACTTAGAAAGTATTCTGAAGGGTTTATCATTATTTTATATAGGTTAGGGCATGTAATAATAATTTTAGCATCCATAAGGACTTGTTCGGTTAATTTCTAATCTTAGAGGATAATCTAAGAGGATTGGTGGGAGATCAAGAGAATTTTCTTGTCCTTATTAGTTAAAATCTCCCTTAATCTCTTTTATTTAATCCTCTCAGACCGAGAATTAACCACACAATAGAAAACTTTATATGCCGATCTGCAATATATGAGGGCTTGATCGCTTGAACTTATCAGCCGGTTTATCAGTTATAATCTACAGTATTTTTCTCTCATAACAAATCAGTTTCAGCCTGCTTATCAGCCGACTTTAATACCAGCCGAACAGACCCTGAAGTTACGAAATTCAACTTGTGTTGTACAACAAGTAGGGCGGCGCGGCGTTGCGCTTGTGGTTAGTTTCCCTAGCAGCTAATACTGGAAAAACAAAAATAACAAACCATGTTAAGGGGTAAACTAGACCAGCTGAAATAGTTGGAGGGGGTAAATTGAATCAAATGTAAGTTTAGGGATATTCTAGACATATACCAAATTTGAGGGGAGTAATTTGGATTTTTTCCTAAATAATATGGAGCATCCATAAGGACTTGTTCGGTTAATTTCTAAACTTAGAGGATAATCTAAGAGGATTGGAGGGAGTTCAGGAGAATTTTTTGCCCTTATAATAAGTTAAAATCTCCGTTGATCTCTTTTATTTAATGCTCTCGGACTGAAAATCAACCGCACAAGCTCCTAGATAACTTTATGCCGATCTGCAATATCTATCTAAAGTTACGAAATTCAACTTGTGTTGTACAACTAGGGCGGCGCGGCGTTGTGCTTGTGGTTAGTTTTCCCTAGGAACTGACACGTCTACACGGGGGATGCATGTAACGTGGACACGCGTGGTACACGTATGCGCTCTCCATCCCTTTTTTTTTTGACCGACTTCCTCAGAAGGCCATTTTTTCACACTGATCACGTTCATTCACGCACGTCCATTATTTATCTAGATACATATCAAGATGGTTGTAAAAAAAAATCAAAGCAACTTATAATTTAGAACGGATAGAGTATTATTATACGGTGCTCCTCTTTTATATTAAAAAAATAGTTAAATTTAATAAAAGGATTTAACTTGAAACAACTCTAAGAGTTGATTTATTCAGCGATCAAGAGAGAACAATGGACTTAGCGCTTATATACACGTATAAACACGAGCCGCTTTATTCGGCCCCTTCTTTTTGCACGAAGGTTTCAATTTTGTCCACGCCCGTCTCTCTCAACGTTATGGTTATCTACATCATAAAAAACGTGACAAAAACTTAAAGAAGATTCTATTGAATTTGCGCAAAGTCGTCCTTTGGACCAAACCAATATGAAAAGCATTGGACTCCCCCAACTAGACCATTATAGCTACTGCCCCAAACCAAACTAGTCCATTAGACTCCCCAGTCCATTCCGACCCAAACCATGTAGGCCCAAACAAGAATCCAAACAAAAACAAAAACGATTTTAGACCAATTACTTTGGTTAGCACCTTTGCCATCAAATGAGGCAAAAGCTTGGTTCACACCAGGTAGGCGAATACTGAAGAGTCAGCTTTGTTTCATGCATGTATTCTAACTTGCTGTTTTCCTGATGATGAGCCAGACAGATTCCGTGTATCAGATGTATTTCGAATCCCTATATATATGCATTAACTTAAGTATTTTGGTTAAAATTTACAATATGCCACAGGAGTGTTAGTTGCCTTGGACGCACATCCTGATGGAATTATCAATCAAGAGATGATACGTGACTATGTTCGTCTTTTCTTCCCATGGTGTGATTTCATTTCTGACTTTTTTTTAAAATTACACGGTACAACGTAGACAACACGTCAGTACATCATCCTTATGTTCGCCAAAACATTGATTTGATTAAAGATGCTCAAGGAAGCAGTGATTTGCTCCAAAGTTTTACAGACGAGATAGAAACCTTTAAATCCCAAGTATGTTTAATTGAAACATCCTGGTGGCACGGGACAGAAAAATCGTCATTTTTTAGATAGTATCTGACACTTACGTAACAGCCAAATGTATCGAGGGCGATTCAACGAAGAGGTGTAAGGTTGGCAATGAAACCCATGTAGCGAAAGAAATTACTGCAAATTTGTACTATTCCTCAGCTTTGTAGCAGGCTATAATAGGGTAGTCATTTGTCGCATACAGCAAGAAAACAGAATGCTTCTTATGCCCATGGTGCACAACATACTATACTACTGGGATTAGCCATGAGACCAGTAAAAAAAGAGCATCTTTATCAGAGCGGATACAGCATAAACAAAATCTCACTATGGCTCTACACTAGCGTTACGGCGACAGACTCTAAAGATTTTAGATTGAACAGAACTAAAACCGAATACATAAGATACGACTTTAATAGAGTTGTACAGAAGAGAGATGTAAGTTTAAAAGGTCAAGTAGTGCCTAAGAATGATACTTTTCGATATCTATGATCGATGCTATAGAGGGAGAGAGATATTGATGTGAACGTTAGCCATAGAATCAAAGCAGAGTGGATCAAGTGGCGACAAGCTTCTAGCATTCTCTGTGACAAGAAGGTACCATAAAAGCTAAAAGACAAGTTCTATAGAACGGCGATTAGACCGATATGTTGTATGGAGCAGAATGTTAGCCTACAAAAATTCGACATGTTCAACAACTGAGTGTTGCAGAAATACGTATGTTGCGATGGATTTGCGGTCACACAAGAATGGACCGAGTTCGAAACGATGATATACGTGATCGTCTAGAGGTAGCACCAATTGAAGAAAAGCTTGTCCAACATCGGTTGAGGTGGTTTGACCATATCCAAATGAGACCTCTAGAGGCACCAGTGCATTATGGAGTTCTAAGCCAAGCTAATAATATGAGAAGAGATAGAAGAAGACCGAAATTGACATGGGGAAGGCAATAAGAAGATATTTGAAAGCTTGAGATATACCTAAAAATCTATATTTGAATATGAGTACTTGAAAAGCAGCTATTGAAGTGCCTGAACCGTGACTTGGAGCTCTCGGTGGGTTTCCACTCTAGCCTACTCCAACTTGCTTGGGACTTGGGACTGAAAGGCTATGTTGTTGTTGCTGTTGGCTCTACACTAGCAAAACAGAATTGATACATCCATCATTCTCCGGGTTGTTTGTAACTTGAGCATATTTCCCTGCAACACAAAAAGTTTGGTTTATCGACAATGGTCCCAGGTAGGTAATAGGTTAGGCAAAAGGAGCACAAACTCGGCAGATTTCTCACCCCAAACAACTTTTCCGCCGGGAGTTACCAGACCAAGCTCACTGACATTTACCTGAAAGAAGACCATTGTAAGCAGCAATTTTGGAGAGAGGGGATATAAAGAGAGAATCACAGTGAATAATGGCGGGCACCTAATATAGTCACTAGTTAGCTACAGAGTATTGACTACAATAACTAGTAAAGATGCATGGCATACCTCAATGATTGTTCCCCTTGTCATAACACCAAGAGAAGTGTACATTGGACCATTCGGGTTTTTCTTCACAGAAATTATGTCAAGGTTGAAAGTGCACTTCAGTTCTGGGTGAGTCACGTGAGCTTTGGTGAAACGCAGACCAGTTGGCCGAATGAAACGTTCATACTTTGGTGGTTTCCTTGTAAATCCAGCTCCAACAAAGGTGGCTTTAGTAACCATTCTCTTCCATTGTTTGGCTGCATAAGGAAAAGATCGGCTAAATTATTCAGACCAAAGGAAAATCTTGTGTCCTCTCTTACGAAACGTTTATGAACTCTTAACAGATGGAACACATTGGTTGCTCAAATCAGTTGTCAACTTCTCATGTAGCGCATCACAGTTCCACAAAGCATATACAGATAAGTAGCATGCCACATAAAACCTTTTAACGGTACCCAAATTCCACATTCATTAACAGATTGCATCATCACTTACTTTTTCGCTTGCCAGTTCGTAGAACCTTGAACATTTCTTCTTCAGCTACAGGTCTCACCTGAAAGGGCAAAAATTGTGTGAGTAGAAAATAACTCATTGAAGCAACCAGAAATGGGATTCTTGTGTTGAGAATCACCTTTGGCAGAGGAACATCCCATTTGCCAGCCTTTTCCTTCCTCTTTTGCTTGATTGTGTTGCTGAGAACCTACATTTCACCAGACCTCAGTCATCAATGCCACAAAATGCTGATGTATCACAATTAGCTGGAGAGAAGCCAAGAACAGTAATTCACCTTGGCACGCTGTGTCTGATCACGGTCCAGTAGATACGGAGGAAGAGCACCCTCTTGAACATCATCATCGACCTTCTGTCGTGAAGTTGATTCATCGTGCATTTTCAGGCTGCAAAAGAACC